ACAGAGACACACAGAGACACACAGAGAGACACAGAGACACACAGAGGACACACAGAGACACACAGAGACAACACAGAGACACACAGAGACACACAGGACACAGAGAACACAGAGACAACAGAGACACACAGAGACAGAGAGACAAGACCACCAGAGACACACACACAGACACACGCAGACACCACAGGACACACACAGACACACACAGGACACACACACCACACAGACACACCCAGACACACACCACACGACACACAACACACACAGACACACACAGGACACACACAGACACACACACAGACAACAAGACACACAGAGACACACACGACAACACAGACACACACTGAGACACACAGAGACACACAGGACACCGAGACACCACAGAGACACACAGGAGACCACACAGAGACACACAGAGACACACAGGACACACAGAGACACACAGAGGACCCCACAGAGACCACCGAGACACACAGAGACACACAGAGACACACACAGGGACACACAGAGACACACAGAGACAAACAGAGACACACAGAGACACACAGAGACACACAGAGGACACACAGAGACAACAGAGAGACACACAGAGACACACAGAGACACACAGAGACACACAGAACACACAGAGGGACACACAGAGGACACACAGAGACACACAGAGACACACAGAGACACAGAGCGAACACACACAGAGACACCACAGAGACACACAAACACACACAGAGACACACAGAGACAAACAGAGACACACAGAGACAACACACACACAGGACACACACAGACACACAGAAACACAGGACACACACAGACACACACACAGGACCACACAGACACAACACACACACACCACAACACACAGCACACACAGACACACACAGAGACACAGACACACACAGAGACACACAAGGACACAACAGAAGACACACAGAGAACACACAGAGACCACACACAGACCCACACAGAGACACACCGACACACACAGACACACCACAGACACACACAGACACACAGACACACAGAACACAGACACACACAGACACACACAGCCACACGAGACACACAGACACACAGACACACAGACACACAGACACACAGACACACAGAAACACAGACGACACACAGACACACAGACACACAGACACACAGACACACAGACACACAGACCCACAGACACACAGACACAAAGACAGACAGACAGACACAGACAGACACAGAGAAGACAGACAGAGACAGACAGACAGACAGACAGACAGACAGAGACAGACAGACAGACAGACAGACCAGACAGACAGACAGACAGGACAGACAGACACCAGCCCCCGCCCCCGCCACCGCCCCCGCCCGCCCCGGCCCACGCCCACGCCCACGCCACCCGGCCCACGGCCCACGCCCACCGCCCACGCCCACGCCCCCGCCACGCCCACGGCCCTCGGCCCCACGCCCACGCCCACGCCCACGCCCACGCCCACGCCACGCCCACGCCACGCCCACGCGGCTACGCGCACTGCGCCCGCGAACGCGCACGCGCACGCGCCGCGCACGCGCACGCGCAACGCGCGCCCTGCCGCACGCGCGCACTGCCGCACGCGCGCACTGCCGCACGCGCGCACTGCCGCACGCCCACGCGCACGCACGACATGTACACGCATGCACGCACATGCTTGCTCGTGCGGGGCATACGCAGATGCAGCTGTGACATGCCCAGCCTTTGCATTCCTCCGTGCTGCTCCACAATCTCCCGCGTCTTGACGCCGTATGATGCCGTGAGTCACAGACCGTGAGTCAAGACAAGCCTTGTTATTGCGACGTTTGGAATATGGAATGTCTGGCCTTCGCCCGCTACGTTTGCAGGTGTGTGCACTTTGAGAACCTTGAGGCCGTGGACTTACAATCGCAATGAGTGCACATAAATGCACGTCGACCGCCTCGGCTGGCCTGAAATTCTATAGAGCGCACGCTTGAAGTGTTGTCTAGTTACCAGTTCGGGGTCGGATTTGATCTCATGTAAGCGTTTCGGGGCTTTTGGTCCGAGTTGAGGGGTCGGCCTTTGGGACTGGCTTTTTGAGGGGCGGGTAGGTCAGCCGAGTGAAAGGGTTTCAGTTAGATGATACCTTGCCTATTTAGGTGTATGGCACCACCCAGCCCCCACCCTAGGATAGAAATCTATCTTAAGAACACCCTAGGATAACATCTGTCTTAAGATCTCAGCCCCATACACCTAACTAGGCAAGGGGTTCCTTATAGAATTTGGTTCAGGGTTTAGGGTTAAGGGTTGTAACTACAATGTAATTATAATATATTATAACTGCTTATGTGTTATATTTATATTATTACGATGGGGTTAAGGAAAATTCAAGCGGATGTCGGTGAAGTCGTTTTTATGCACTTTGAGTATGACTTGGTTCATTTTGTTTTCATCATTCTTGGTTTCAGTTTGCTCCAGATGTTTGGAAAGTCTGTCTGCAATTGTATTGAGTCTAGATTCTCGTGTGTGTTGGTGAGTTCTTCCTGCTAAGTGCGCTACGTATTTTTCTGGAAGAACTCTTAAACCACAACCTCGGCAGTTGAATGCACCATTCTGCGCTGTTTTCTCTCGCTTCTTTCTGTTGATCTCATCCTTGTTCTTTTCACGGTATCGTCTGCTATGTTCGCGACACCAGTTGCAGGTGTTAAACCCGTCAAAGTTGTTCATTCCTTTACGAGCTTACAGCCACTACATTCTTGGAATTCGTCGCCCATTACCTATAAATACAATGTTAATGTCTCTTTAGGTGTTTCCCAAAGAAATGCTGTTATACAAGAAAATGTGTTGTCATTGATTCTTGACAGACTTGTCTAAGCAGTCAGAACGAGCCGCAATGTATTTAACATGAGAATACGAATGCTTACCAGTGTAATAGCAATTAAAACAATCATGTCTTTGACTTGTCTACAACGATAACACTTCCTAGTAACAACATTATCTGTTTCAGTATATGGATCAAAATCAACTGATATCTTCTTACTGGCATTATTATTATAAACATTTTTTCATAATGGGATATTATGAAAATTTGCACCGGTTCCTTAAGATTTACTGCAACCAATTACGAATCAATATGATTTCCACGCCTCTTATGGCTTGCTTATCAAACTGTTCAAAACGCACGGGAGCAATGCGACCTGATCTTCTTCTGATGTTTGGGCAGGGGAACTCTACACTGTCAAATTACCATAGAAACTTTTATTTATATACTAATCCATCATATTCGAATTATTCTTCAAAATAGTTACATCTTTGTCTATCCTTTCAACATCCTCCTCCACCTTTTCTAATCTCTCTTCTGGCGCAGGTTTTCTTGATCCCCACCCGGTGGTCACCGTATCAGCGCGTTCATTATCTTGCGAGTTAGCTTTAAATACGTCGTTTTCATCAGGGGTTATCATTCTCCCCATTTTCCTACTACTCCTATCTTCAATTATGGTTTTACCTTCGTTGTTTATCTTAGTTTCTTTGTGAAAAGTCTTTTTTTCTACATTTACAAGGCAAGCAGTTTAATCCATCTGTGTTTAAGTGGAAGCCACCTTCGTTAGATTCCCTTTACCTGTCTTAGATTTTTTTAAATACTCAAGAACTTCCTTAAGCAATTCTAAAGAAGCGGTGCAACATCTTTTACGCTTGGTGTCTTGTATTACAATCGTCTCAATTTCCTCAATCTCCTCAATCGCTTCTACATACTTGTTCATTATAGTAAAAGATACTGTTCTCTTATTGGTTAATGAGTGAAGAAAGACCTAAAGTAGAACCGAGAGACATACCCGAATATAAATTGAAAAACAGCAAGTTTGATATGATGCCGAAGCTACACACGCGGATTTTATGTGTGGCTTCTGCAACAGGTGGTAAAACAGTATTGATACAGAAGTTAATATTAACAATCTACAGGGGGTCATTTGAGAGAATATATATCTTCTCTTCCAGTGTTCATGTTGATGACACTTGGTCGGCAGTAAAGAAATACATAAGGGATGTACTGAAGGCAGATGCTGCAAAATAACACCTTTATTATGAGGAACACGACCCGGTGGCGCTAAAGAAGATCATAGACACTCAGCATACAGTAATTGATTTTCAGAATAAGAAGAAAAAACAAACAGATTTGTTTAACATTCTGTTAGTGGTGGATGATTTTTCCGACGATCGCAAATTTGGAAGATACTCAAGCTTGTTACACGGTGTTCATCTTCAGAGTCAAAAATATAAACGAAGTCAATGCACGTTTGGAAGAGAATTCCGCATTGGCGTATAGAAGCACGTTATACGACATGTATCAGAAAGCCGTGAATTTTGCTCCTTACTCCTTCTTCTACATAAACACCAATGCTAAAGATGTTAGTATTATGTTTTTCATCAACTTTGAACAACGCTTTGAAATAGGTGATTAATGATATTATTTATTGCTAATATTATTCATTAAATCAATGAGTAACTACAGAAGTATAAAGCAGGTAGTTTTAAAATGTATTTTATCGCTTGTTGTTTCTTCTAACTTTTCAACTCTTTCAATAACATCTTTCAAAGTATTAAACAATAACATATCTGTTCTTGTTGTTTCATGAATATCTAGTTTTTTATTTGTTTCATATTTTCAGTAGCAGAAGATATAGAAGATGTAGAACCCATATAACAAAATTTAGAAAAAATTTTAATTAGCCTTTACCTTTCCATTTCAACTTAGTCATTTCGCCTTTCATCGTTGCCATTTCTTTTTTCATTGTCTTAACCAACTCTTTTGAGTCTTCATTTCTCCTATTAAATGCTGTAGCGCTCTGTGTGTTATTACAACTGTTTTACAATAATCAAGTCTCTTATGTCCTTTTTATCTGTTGTTACAGTCCCCTCCCACTCTTTGGGAATTACACTCTCACCGTCTTGAGCAATATGCCCAAGATGATTAACTTATTCTTGTCTTCGTTTAAGTGTGTAAATTAAATGTCTTCGGCTTTACATATTTAACTATGTCATAGCATTTTTTACTATTTACTTCCTTGACGTTTTCTTTTATTGAAAAGTCAGAGGAATATCCGAAAGTGCCATGAACATAAACTCCGCTGGGTGTTATTTCTCAAACTTCGTTACCTGCTCCGACACTACCAAAATCAAAATAATACTCACTGCCTGCATCAGTATTAAAAAATTGTATCTCGTCTACGGTGCTTATTGTCTCTTGTGTTATTTCCAAGTTATTGTGCGACCGCTCTATTTATTGTAATTCCATTCGTGTCATTTAATGGTAAAGCGATAGTGCCTGTTGTCGGGTCTGTTGCTCTATCGCTTTGTAAAGAAAAATTTATTTCCTTTTCAGCAATAATATTTAGTGAGTGATTAGCATCACTACGTTGAAAAACACGACTTGTAGTGCTTAATAACTGTTGCACGAAAAATGTTGCGTCATTCTCAACGCCTGTTTCAATAAAATTTGATATACCTCCTTTTGTTTAATGATATGAAATTTATGTTGCCTTCCCATTCCTACTGTTGCTGTTGTTGAGCTTCCTATTCTTAAACGAGAATCGCCTCCTGTGTCATGTAATATTATTTCTGTCCCATTTTTCTACTTGGGTTCATTGTTTCTAAATTCAAATACTCCCTGTGTGTCTCAAACTCTTAGATTATAGTTAGCATCACCCTTTCTCTAAACATATCAACCGCTGCTGTTGGTAATTGAATATCTCCTGTGTTATTTGTTAAATCTATGTTACCATCAACTCTTAAATCTTCTCGAAGAATAGCACTATTAACGACATCCAATAAATAACCTCCTGTTAATGTATTTGATGCTGTATCTAATAACAACGAGTGTGATTTAACATATTGATTAGCATTGGCGTTTAAACCTAAAATTATACCTGTATCACCAACTGAATTATAACAACCAATATTATCATTATGAAAAGTAAAATGTTTATCCGATTTTAATTGTAAAGGATAAATTAGCATCTGAATTTTCTATTACTAGACCAGCTGCTGGTGTTTCTATTTTACCACTCATTTTATATCCTGCATTATTATTTGTTAAGTCTAATTGTTTTACGGCACCGTCCGATGTATCATTACAAATATTTTATCGCCTTGCAAAGATATATAACTAGTAGCGTCCTTGAATTCTGCCAATACTTTGTATCCTCCCCCTGTCCGGTTTCTAAATAATACTCCTGCTACTGGGGATTTGTTAAAAGTTGAGTTGTTTAGTGTTAAAACCGCTATGAATACTGTAGGGGCGGAACAGTCAGTAATAGGATTGGCACTAAATCTATTTGTAAGGCACTAAATCTATTTGTAAAATCTGATTTGGGGATTCTTAAGTCTAGTAAAGTATCAATATCTGTATCACTATAACACCCTCCTCCTGCTACTAAAGCATCTACTTCTGTTTTATTGTATTAATTGGTTGCTAATTGGGTGTTAGTTTGAAAGTTTGTATCAATCTCACTCTTATAATAATAGTTTGTTTGAAGTTGAGTGTTTGTTTGGAAGTTAGTAGATAAATACTGCTCAGAATATCAGTAGCGTTTGTGTTGGCTTGTATGTTTGAAGAGTTTGCTGTGTCAATGTCTCCTAGTTCTGCCTTTGTGGCATATAGCAACGATATATCTGTTCCACTGACTACAGTATTATCTGCTGTTAAGATATTTGTATTATTCAACGTTAAACGAATTAGATTAATAAAAAAGAAAGTTTTATGAATATACTTGATTATCGTTTAGTTGACTTAGATATGCTTGATGTTTTTTTCTTTTAAAATGTGAGGCGGTATTAGCATTTGTATAGTGTCCTCCGCATTCGCATTCGTGTTTTATTGACTTCCACGGTTTATGTCTTTCGCAAGCATGTTTGGGGTCTTTCCAGTATTGTTTGCTCGCATCTTCGTTTACCTTTTCTCTGTTATTTGCTTTCCACTTCTTTTTGTATTCTCTATATCGTGCAATATGGTCTTGATAATATTGTCTAAAATGTTCTTTCATATCCATACCTGGTTGCTCTATCCTTTTATTTAGTGTGCCTATTTCTCTTGTTATTTCACCTTCTCTTTTGTGTAATACTTCAACTGAATTACAGGGAAACTTTCAGCGAGTTCAATGTAAAAATGTTCCATACCTCGTTCATGAATGTATAAAAGAACGATACATCAGGTCGTGTTTTAGCATCGGACGATGTTTTACCATTTGTTTAGAAAGCGCCATTGTTGTTGAACCTATGTAAATAACGTCTGTGATGTCGTTTCTAACAGCATAGAATTTACCGTCTTTATGCCTATTAATTATGGTCATGTAATAATATTAATAATGATGTCTTTAGACCTGTTTTTGCACTTTTTAAATCATACTTGCAAGACCCCCCTTGCCTAGTTAGGCGTATGGCACCTAAATAGAAGTAAGCAGTATTCCTGGTAGGGTAACTTGGGTTGGGATCACCCTACTGGGGCTGAGATCTTAAGAAAGATGTTATCCTAGGGTGTGGGGTGAGATCTTAAGATAGATTTCTATCCTAGGGTGGGGGCTGGGTGGTGCCATACACCTAAATAGGCAAAGTATCATCTAACTGTTTCGTCGAGAGGCTTTTGGGCGTCTGAGGGGATGTTGAGGTTTACAAAAAGGCTCTTCTTGGCCGTGGGGTCAGAGCGCAGCACATCACAGAAGGGCGTGAATGGCGTCGAACTTCAGTCACATCTTGCAAACCCCTGAGGCTGTCTTCCCTTTCGAAATGCAGACGGATCGACCTTTCTCGCGCCAACGCACGCGCTTCAGGCCTATTCCGGCAGTCTGGTCCGGAAGTACACGTTGTGGAAGTTGGAGGATGGAAGATGGACGTGGGTTCTTCAAGGGTTCTTCATTCTTTGAGCTCGCCTATAGACTGCGGGGGGCATATTAGAGCCAGTTGCAGCAGCTCTTGGCGTTGGGTTGAGATACAAAAACCCGACACCCGACCCCTCTTCTGCACCTCTTCACCTGAATCGAGTCATGGTCATGGTCAGTCATGGTCAGTCCAAGCGCAGGGCTCCTGTAGATGCCTGTCCCGCAGCTCGAGTCAGCGTGTAGCAGTGTGTGACATGTGCGCTTCGGTGACTCCTACGGTGCTACAGAGAAACGACCGGCCAGAGAACAAGAGCCAAAGCCGGATCTCTCCACCATTGTACTTCACTGTACTTAGGCATGCTAATTTGACATGGACCGAGCACTCATGTGTGTTCCTGCCAGCCGAATCTGCAACATCGACTTACATAAGGCCATGAGGTTTGAGGTGACCCCACAGCCTTAGACTTGCATTGACTTGCATCCACACTTGTATGGGCGCGATGCCGCCCAAGAAGAAGACCATCAAAGATTCGGTCACATTCTCAGATGCATTTCGCGGCTCCATGTTGCCCTGTCGCAGGGAAATCGGAACAGGGAAATCGGAACACACCATGGGATCCCTTCTGTAGTAAAGGGAGCCTGCGCAGTTCTGCCATCGCCGATGCAAGTCAAAAGTCACAGCACATTCAAGCGCCCTTCGTTGTCGTGAACAGAGCAAGTGCAGCTGGCGGGTGTTTGCTGGTTTACCTGGACTTGTCAGGCTGGCAAAGCAAAAGCCAAGGCAAAGGCCAAGGTGAAAGCGAAGGCCAAGGCAAGGCCATGCAGAGATGGAGTCTCATGGTGTGATCGTAGTGATTATGGTTTCGTCGTGTACGCAGCGCACTAGAAGCTGATGCTGGCCGGTTCGTGTTTCGACTTGCGGGCGCAGTTTCATTCTGCCATACATGCAGGATTCTGGTGCACTGCTGCCACACTCCCAAGCTGCAAATTGAGCGAACCAAGTCTTCTCCTTGCGGAGGCCGTGGCTGCCGTGGCCGCGTCAGAGGCCAGCCTTCGGCGGCAGTGGCATGTCGCAACCGGCGCCTGCGTGCTTGCTTCCGCTTGCCAGTGCGACAGGCCACTAGCTTGACGACGGCTGCGTCACTGAAGGCCTCCGACCGGGCTTAGGGCTCACCCTATTCATTGTACCACTATTGTACCATGATCTCGCATCATCTCTTCAGCCATGCCAAGGTCCGATCCAAACCCTCTTTCTTTTTAAGAATCGCCCACAAGTTGTCAGTCGCAACCTCTGATGATTGAGATGCAAGACACGATCGCTTTCTGCTTCTGCCCGGCTCTCTGGCTCCGAGCTTTTCGAGACATTGCAGTCTACGCGCGGCCGTAAGGCCGTGCAAGGCCTTTAGGGTTTGTTGTTCCGGGCCTGTTTCAGTTCAGAGCCTTGCGCAGGCTGGATTTTGGCCGACGTAACTGTCTTCAGTGCCTCCACGAACTCGCAAGTAATCGAGTTGTTCTTTCATGTTCTGTGATACTCTTCATGGCCATGGATCCGGATGAGTCCAGCTCTTCCCCGCATCGCGCTGAGGCACACCGGAAGACCACGCTAGTATAGGGAGGTTAGTAATCCCAATGGATTCGCTTTGGGGCAATGGGTTCCAATAGGGGCGGGACTGAGATACGTAGATTATCTTCGGTGTCGGAGTGATGGGCTGTCAGAAAAGCTGAGAAATCTCTTAGCTTGTGCCCATGAAGCACCTGCCTTTGAGAGGCTTCGCAAGGCTTGCATGTGCTCAATTGTGCTCCTGTGGCTCCATCGTGGAAGGATTGAGTCTCCAGTCTCATTGACTTTCGTGTGCACTGTTGCATGGAGCAGTGTGTTTCAGGCAGGGCTCGTTTAACCGCTAATGCGAGGCCGCCTGGGCAAGGTTTCGAAGAATATTTCAGGGTTCAGTCAGGAGGGGGGTGGGGGGCGAGGGGAATGGTGGGGGGGGGGGGGATGGGGGTGGGGGGGTAGGGGGGTGGGGGGGACGGGTGAGAAAACGTTTGGAAGGTTGCCGAGAAGATTTAAATGCCTCAGGCCTCCGGCCTTTGCGGATTTGGTATCTTCATGCATTCTCCCCCCCAAACTGCCGTAAGAGTTTACAGAGAAATGTATCTCTCGCGGGGGGGGGGTGGTTTGGGAGTCGCTGGAATGTAGTTGTTGTTGAGCCTGCAGGCGTTGCCTGCATTCGCACCGCTGACTGCGCTGTGGGTAGGAAGCTGCTCAGCCGAGAGAGAGGTCAGAGCTGTTTAGTCTCCAATGCCATGTGTTTGAGGTCTGTCCCTTCTGCTCTTCCCAGGATATGCTTCCACGAACCATTCCGTGATCTTCCTGTGGGTTGACGGCATTGCCAGCATCGGCGCTGGTGCTGGCAAGCCGAAGAAGCTAGTATCTTGAAGTTGTCTGCTTCTCGCATCGTCTCCTTAGCGGATTTTGCCACGCTTGCCGATGTGACATTCAGGAGTAGAGAGGCGTGTGTGAGGCAAAACGCTGAAGGACTATGGGTAGGATCTGACACGCACTTTACATGCCCAGTTTGAGAATTAGCCGGCTGAGCCAAGGTATTGGTGGTCGTGCAGGTTCCTTGTCTTACAGACTGGTTGCCCCTCTGCAGTTTGCATATGCTTGCAGTAGTGCTGTGCTAATAGCTGCCGCCTTTAGGACAAGCTCAATATCAGCTCTATAGTTCCAGCCACAACTACGCGCAAGAGATCCTTCACGCTTGCATGCTGACTCACTAATTTCTAAGGATGAGCTGAAGCCGCAGCCTGCAGTCACGCTACGGCGAACACGACTGGCGCTGAAAGCGACTCGATGGTCCTCTATTTTGCGCAAACTTTCATGAGAGCCAAAACAAAAGCCACTCTCGGTGAAAGCGGCTGGATTGTTCAATGTTGCGCAGACCTTTCTCACAGGTGCAAATGTCAATATGCAACTCTAGGTGTACTCGGGTGTACTCGTTGAGTGCAGTTGATAGCATTTCCTGAAACGAGTCTGGGAATAAAAGGCATGGTGCTTGTCTTGTAGTAGCATGCGAAAGCATGTGAGATCAAAGTGCATCCTGAAGCTGAGGGTAGTCCGTTCTTTGCGCCTGGAGACGCGCGCCCGTGTCGCAGCCTGGTGGCAGAACAATCGGTTTAGGGGGTGGGGGCGGGTGCTGCCTGCATCGGGTTTGGTGACTGTTGTTCACGTGTTAATAATACTGTTGATAGTCTTGCCATCATAAAGTCATCCAACTTTCGAAAGAGGCTCGACTAGAGGTCGTTGCATGCAGCACATGTGGTACGGTCGAAAGAGGTGCCGTGCCCCTTCAAATCAGTTCTCATACGACTCCGGGCTCGGACATGCGATGATGTATGACATGTATGGTCGATCCTCAGCTCACCTTGTCTTATCAGCTTCTCCTTTGCCGATCATGCTTGAGGCGGCGTCTGCACGTTTGAGATTTTGCTTGGCGACATTGCCGGGTTCGATTACTGGAACCCACTGCTGGTGGATGCAAGCCGTGTGGTCATCGAGGTTCAGAAAGATGCATGGGGGTGCTGGGCCGTCCTGAGCGTTTGCAAACAGCACAGTAGACCTGGCTGTGTTCTCCCTTGTGTCTTGGTTTTTCAGCAGGCGCGGTACTTGACGCGTCGTTGGTTTCCAGACCTACGCGCTTGTGGTCATCATTTTGGTCGTGAGCCGAGCCCATGTCCAGCGGGAAGGTAGAGGGAATGCCAACTGCGCAATGATGCATGTCGCACTAAGGCTGGGATCTTGGGGCATCGGGTGCATCACCTCCAGATGCTCCACTGTACCGGCCCGTTCTTTGAACGCACCAGTTTTGAAACGTCTTGAGAACTTGTGAGCTGCTTTGTGACTGCAGTGCAAATGAGGTGACGGGAGAGGTTGGTATCGAGCTGCCGCAGGCTTCAGATCTGTCTCTCATTCATACGGCTTCGCGACATATCAGTTGCTTCGACCTGAGCTTGGGCAGGTAGTCCTCCTGACAGAAAACTGCAAGCTACACACTTCTCCCTCCAAGGCCGGGGAAGCTGGAAAACTCAGACTGGGGATGGCTGCGCGCTGCATTCCGGGGTTTCATAGGTCTGAAAGATTCGTGTTCACGCTGTTGCTTTGTGCTCATCGCATTGACAAATTGACCAGGTGCGGCCTAGTTATTGGCAGCCTCGTGCAGAAGAAGCAAGCTTCGCACGAATCAACGCCGTGTTCCGTGCAGCGGAGCCGTGTGGAAAGGGTTAGTTACAATCAGGGGTTCTGTTTGAATAGCTACCTGTACGGTCAGTTGACGCATGAGCTGCAAACATAGTGTTGTGATGCCTTGTGATCCTCAATTCAGTTGTCCTTTGTGGGGCTTGGGGCGCTGCTCTGGGAAGATCGTAGCAGAGCAGGACCTGTGAGTGTGCCAATGATGCCAATGCAGAGTCAGCGATTTGGCGAGGAGCGTGTGGTGGTTGGTCCCACGTCTCCGCGACGCTTGGAAGCTTGGCTTTCCTGGCCTACAAGAAGACCAGAAGCGGTGTCATCAGGTCGTGGTTTTTGCTCAGGACTTCAACGGGGTCAGTGACGTTGCCCAGGACTCCTCGACCTTTCCGAACAGAACTCTATGCGCGCATCATGCAGACGACATGTCAAGACTTGCCCGAATATGGGTGAATCACCTTGCAGGTCTATGATGGTGATGGCGGCACAGGAAGCTGCTCCCATCCACAGCATGAGGAGCCAGCTCCTTTCCGGCACTAACTATGAGCATAGCTCTGCGCCCAACCCCTGACCGCAAACCCCACATTTTCACTCGGCGCTCAGTTCTTCCGACACCCAGGTCATGGAAGTGCTGTACAATCGCACAGCCACCCAACAGCACTTCAGGACTCCCAAGGGCTTCTTTTCCTTTCTCTAGTGCTCCTTT